AGCAGGGAGCCCGATGCGGGACTCGATCCCGGGACTCCAGGATCATGACCTGAGCCGAAGGCAGTCGCTCAACCAACTGAGCCACCCAGGCGCCCCTCATATTTTCACTAACTACATTTCCCCACCCACGACTGGAGGACAAACACGATACTGGAGGACAAAACACTTGACTGTGAAGACAGTAAATGGCAAATATATTTCTCTAATATACTAATTTATATGGGAAGAAAATTAGACATTCAGCTTTCCTTTTGAAAACTAAGACCCCCTTGTCAATACTGTTGCCATCATTCGAAGGCTGCTATCTTCAAGAAGGATCCCAAATTCAGGACCTAGCTCTTTACATTTATAGGAATTTATGAAAATAATCTTTTCTTTCTTTTTCAGACCGGGTTCCAGCTCCCCAAATTAAAGACCTGGAGTCAATAATTCAATACATGGCCAGTAGGTGGCAATGATGCTGCAAAATTAATTCCAAAATAAGGCACGATACCGAAGATACTGTGAAAGCATCCCTTCCTTGTTTTTGTTTTTGTTTTTAAATTCTAGTTAGTTAACATATAGTGTAATATTGGTTTCAGGAGTAGAATTTAGTGATGCATCCCTTCCTTATAAAATTATGAAGACTTCATCGCTTTTAGAGACACATGCTCATCATTAATTAGTCAAGCCACCGAGATTCCTTCAAAAGTCAGTCTCGGCAACGGATTACTCGCAGGTGGTAGGATGGAAACGGGGGGTAGAGGGGGCGGGAAGAGGGGACTGAAGAATGAAGCAGACACCCTGAAACGCTCCTCCTTGTTTATATTCTTTTTATTCCAGCAAAGTGTTCAATGTGCTGTAGGCTACCGACGTGACTCCCCCAGATGTTTAGGGTTGAGTCTGTATTGACTTATCCAAGTGGCTTTCTTTCCACTTCCAGCCCTTTCTCCAACAGCTGCGCATTCCTGAGCTCTTGTCTGGATCCACGTCCCCCTCCCCGGGAAATACGATGCTCACAGTACTCTGCCCGGAGCCCCTTCTCCTCTGAGTGTCCAAGACACACAGGAGTGAGCTTGGGGGGATCTCACATGCCTGAGTCCCCCACTCTTTCCCTTGGATCCTCAGAGACGACACCCCTCTGGTCATAATTACACATTTCAATAGACAAGGATGCCTTCCCTTGTTGCCTCTTCATGCCTGGAGGATCCCTTCTTCCTCTGAGCACTTTAATACAAATCAAAGTTATACATCCAGGTGGATCATTCTGTATTCCTTCCTCTGGCTGCTTCCTTTGCAATCTGCAGACACAGGTCATTCACTGCAGGAACCTGCTGTTTGGAGATGTCTTCAAAGCCTGGGGTGTGGGAGTGTGTAGGTGAGCTGGAGCAGGGCCAGTCCATTAGAGCCGCCAAGACGAGAGATTGGAGTTCCACAGTTACTTGTGAGGACTAGTTAAATATCCTGAGCCGGGCACACCCATCCTACCTGGGGAGTCATCTCCCCTCTACCGACCCCTGGCCTTGGGCTCAGACTCCATTGAGTGCAGCAAGATGGTAGCCCCAGGTCCCATCTATAGACCCCGATGCCCATAGGGACACAAGAAGGGCTTCCACCACTTTCAATGACATTCCTCCTCTTGTATGAGGACTTGTTCTGAACCCACTTTTCTCCAACTCTTGGGATCTTTTCCCACAATCTTCCTTTCCCCAATATTACCCCTTAAGGAAGGGGTAGGGTTTGGGGCCACAGCAAACTTGCCCAAATGACACCACTATCTTCTGTCATGGATGGAGCCAGCTGTCCCCATGTCTGGGCTGCTGGTGGTGGACTTGTGTCCTTTGTTTGCCACTGTCCAGCTCAGCAGGCATCGAGGGAACACCATCCTGAGATGGAGATTCTTTCCATCGGCTTTGCCCAGAAGCCCCGGTCCCTTTTGTAGGAAGAGCTCCCCTGGGCCTGGCTCTGCCGGCTTGGATGGAAATGCCGCTTGTAAACACACAGACACAAAGACAGTTATCTGTTGTCTGTATCAGAGCTTCACCGACAATTATGAAGCCAAAACTAAGGTATGAAGTAAACACCAAGAAAACCCACAGCAATCAAGGAAATCGAAATTAATGAACCAAATGTTTTACCAGCTATCTGGGCATCCCTTAGCCCAGTCAAGTTGACGGATAAAATCAACCTTCAAGGTGCAAAAAGGGTTTTCTGAGCAATACCTAATTGAGTCCATGTGTCTGCTAAACATTTCGTGGGAATGTTGAATTTTCTTACAGATCCCATTACAGGCGTAGCTCCTGGTGACAGAACAGGGAGCGTTGTACACTCACTGTGAGAGCTTAACAGACCGATTCTTCATGTTCCTGCAACAAGCAGACGTCTTTATTGAACTCACATGTGGCATTTCCTGGGGCCACATCCAGACTGTCGGGGGCTCAGTGTACCATCAGGAGGAATGAAAAACCAGGAAACGTTCCCTTTCTACTATGTCTGTCTTTACCGTACAAAGCTGAGGGTCTTCTCAATCTGTTTGGGTTGATGTGAAATCCAAACTCAAAGGCTATTAACAACTTGACAATGTAATTTGTTCCATATTATAATAAAGAATAGAGTGCCATCCGCAGACACGTTTGCTAAAATTTAAACATCGATTGTTCCCAATCAAGACACAGTTCTCCCAAACCTGTTTGAAGCACATGGAAAAATATGACGTCCCTTGACCCCATACCCTAGATCCATCCCCAGCTACAAACTCATAATAATATCAGTGAGAAATTAAGGTAATAAAAATGCTTTTCAACGTGAGGATTCAAATTCAGAAATCTTTAAACACTGGACATTATTCCAATGTATTCACTCAGAAATAGGGGATGGAGAAACAATGGCCTCATTTGGTGTTCCCCCTTCTGCAAATAAGATGCGGTGCTGTTTTTCTTCTCTGAGGACAGGAATTCAGCGGACCCAGCCTCAGCAGAAATGAGCACATGGGTCAACATTAGTCTCCAAGTCATATTCGCATCAGGGGTGTGGCAAAAGCTCTCCGGACGTAGAACCATGTGGTCTGGCAGCTGGGTTCAAGGGAGATGCAAGCAACGCCTTTCAAACATTAAAGTTTGGGGATCCCACAATATCAGGATGAGACCCAACACCTGTTCTCAGGGTGTGTATTATCTTCCTGTGGCTGCCGTGACAAATGCCCATATTTGTTGCCCATTTGGGTGGCTTAAAACAATGTAGACTGACCACCTTGCAGTTCTGGAGGTCAGAAGTCCAACATGGGTGTCACTGGGCTGAAGTCAAGGTGTGGGCAGGGTGAGTTCCTTCTGGCAGCTCCTGCAGACAGTCCATCTCCTGGCCTCTTCCCGCTTCTTGAGGCTCCTGCAGCCCTGGTTTGTGGCCATGTTCCCTCAACACCAGCAGAACTAGCATCTCCCAGTCTCTGTCTGGCCTCTGTTTCTTCTGTATCACGTTCTATTAGCAAATCTCCTTCTGCCTCCCCCATATGAGGACCCTTGTGACAACACAAGGCCCACCTGGAAAACCCAGAGTCATTCTCTGGTGGTCCTCAACATGACCACGCCTGCTAAGACCCTGTTTCCAGATAAGGTAGCATGTTCAGGTTCCTAGGATTAGGATGTGCACATGTTGGTGGGGGAGCATTATTCAATGTACCCCACGGGTCACCGTGCAATGATCTACATGAACACAGGAGCTCCTCGAAGCTAGAGCAGACTGCAGACAGGGCCATGCCCTCTCCCTCCCTGGAAGCCCTGGGAGCCCCGGGAGCAGGCTCTCAGCTCTGTCTCCTTGGGGAGCCAGCATCCGATTCTCTGATTCTCCAGGCACACTTGTGTGGAGGGTGGGTACTTACATCTTCCGAATGGCACCCCTTGGGTGAGGGTGGGGTGTCATCTGTGACCATGGTCTGCTCTGAAGGGCCGTCAGCAGGCCAAGGCTGGCTGGACCCCACTGCTGGTTTTGCATATGGCTCCCCGATGCCAGCCTGAACAAAGATGGATGCACTTGGTAAGTCCTCCTTACATCTTTTTAACTCTCCGGCTGCCCTGGGGACCCCAGGACCCATCCCGTCCTTTGTGTGGCCAGCGCTCCCCAGCCCTATCATCTGTACTCAATAAACAGAAGCTTGCTCAAGGAATGCACACAGACTTAGGAAACCGGGCCCCGAGAACCTATAAACAACCTATCCATGTTCTGAGCTGGCCGTGCACAGAGCCTGACACTCTGGAAACAAAAGCAAGCACTCCCACACCCCTGGGCCAACACAGAGAGCCTCCAGGGCCGTAGGGATCGTGGAAACGTGACAACTCACAAGGTAAGCTCTGATAAAACAGGTGACGGGTGGTCCTCTAGAAAGCTGCCATCGTTCTGGCGAGAAAAACCACACGGCACACATCTCCTAGATTGCTCTCAACGCCTTATTTCCCAGAACAGCCTGACTCCACATCTTAATTTCCCTCCCATACAACCTGATGCCTAGCAAACTGCCCAGCAGAAAATAAGTGGCAACACAAACACAGATAAACTCCTATTCCCTCGTGTGAAATGATGGGAGAAACTGAGTGCTTCCAAAGAGAAGCAGCACCTGGTTCCACCCAACAAAAACCGTGGCCAAGACTAAAGTATGGATTCTCTTCCATTTCCCATCAATGCAATGGCTGGTGATTAACTGTATGGTACTAATACATGTCCTAGTAAACAATGATCAGGTAATAAAGTTTCCTGGAACCGAATTTCAAGAGGTCTTTTGTACGGCCGGTGTATCCATAGTAAACTAGCTGCACAAATGTGACTATTTAGAGCATGAAGGGTTACCATTACATTTAAAAAAAAAATCAAATTGGTATCAATCAAGAGTTTCAAAAATCCTCTTCAGCAACGTCCTCCAACAGCTACTTGAAGTGATGATGTAAATTGGAAAGTGTCTCCTTGAACAACATGGTAATCAATCATCTGCAGCCACTTAGCTATGAGTGGTTCTTTCCCTGATGAAGGCGGCTAACTGAAATAATCTACTTACGCACCAACCCTCTAAGTCACAGCCACATTCTGGCTCATTAAACATTCATGATTTTGAGCCAGAAAAAAACAAACCAGGGTATCTGCATCTTCAGCATCCTTTATGAAATACAACACAGAGAAACAGAAGGGAGCATTTTGAGGAAGTACACTGGGTATCGACTCGATCATGCAGAGAATATGCCCATCCTCAACTCCTGCTTTCAGAGGGTGTCACCCACTTACGGAGTGTCCTGGAGATGCGCGTTCTTCCTCATCCCGGAAGCTTCCATAAAGAGGCAGGATGCTGTGCTGGTAGATTTTCCACCAGAGGTTAAGGAAGGACGTCTGGTGCTGGTTGGCCAACCCGGAGCCCTCCTCCAACACCGAGCCCATCTGGGAGTTGTATTTGTAGTTCCATGGCTTTGTGGGCCCCAAAAAGTGGACTACCTTCACACTTGAACCGAATCTGAGGAAGAAACACAAAGCATTCTACTTTCCACTTGGAAGTGATCACACACGCAGGGAAATTCCCCCACAACCACGAGGCGTGTCAAAGACAGCAGCATGTGAACACTTGTCTCAACCCTACTATGTGGACGTGCTGTTATTTTCCTTAAAGATATTTTTTTTTAAACAATCAATATTGGGAGTATTTTGTTTTCTATCTACCAAGGAACATAATCATAACCCAGTGGGAAATTCCCTCAAACCAGAAGAATAGGGGCGCCTGGGTGGCTCAGTCGTTAAACGTCTGCCTTCGGTTCAGGTCATGATCCCAGGGTCCTGGGATCGAGCCCCACATCGGGCTCCCTGCTCGGCGGGAAGCCTGCTTCTCCCTCTCCCGTTCCCCCTGCTTGTGTTCCCTCTCTCACTGTATCTCTCTCTGTCAAATAAATAAAAAAAAAAAAAAAAAAAAAAAAAAAAACCAGAAGAATAAATCAAGAGTCTTCTAAAGATGAACGGTATGGTAGGTAGCCCAAAACATCATCTCCTTAAAACAACAGGGACTGAAAAAAAGAAAAAATCACTTATATATAGTAGACAATGCAAGCTGAAAACAAGAAAATTGGCTTCTCTTTACAAGATTGTGAATTTTCTCCTCTCAACCTTTTTAAACATTTTTCCCCATAATCATCTTCCCATGAAATTTTAACACTACGTTTGTATCGTATATCCATGTTCTGTATGTACATCTCTGCTTTATTCGTTAAAAAGAATAGGATGTTTTCACTCCCTGAGGACCCACTTCTGCTCCTTAGAGGCAATATGTTCCCTGTTAAAAATGCGTGCCCTAGAATTATCCTTTCCCTAGATTCTGCTCCAATTTTCCACTTTTGTTTATAACAACATCACCCACAGCAGCGAATCTCAAACATTTTGGTCCTAGGACTTCTTGACATTCTTAAAACGCATGGAGGACCAAGAGCTTAGCTTTGTCCATGTGGATTCCATCTGTCTATATTTACCACAACAGAAAACAAAACTAAGAAATCTGAAAATGGATTTAATCAATTCATTAGAAATCAATCGACCCACGAGATGTGGATGTTCATTTCCACACTTTTTCATGAAAAATAACTGTATTTTCAAAATACAACTGTCAAAAGAATGACTTTGACCATTTCAAGAGGAGACAGCTGCTTTCTTATATCTGTGTCTCCATTCAGTGCACTGTTTTGTTTTTTTAGTGCATTGTTTAATCATGTCATGGAGTTTCTGTAAATCCCCCCCCCCCGTACACTTACAAAGAACAAGAAGAAAAAATAACATCTTAGAAGAATTATTTTTTAAGTTGTTTTGACTGCAGATGTTCAAAAGAACTGTGGGGGAATCCCTCAGGGGTTCCTTAGACCACCCTTTGGGAACCACTATCATTAAGACTTGCTGCTTTGACTACCCATAATTTAAAGCAATAGGCAAACGGAGGGATGATCTAGTTTTTTCCTCCCCAAATGCCAAAAGCTGATAAAGATTCTAGAGATAGGGCTGCTGGAAGGCAGCAGGCATAGAAGGATCTAGAAAGTGGAGAACTTACCGTTTGAAAGCAGGGCTGTAGGTGTATGCCATGTTACTGCTCAAGTTATAGATGAACGGTAAGTGCTTGTGGATGTCTGCTGTTGACCAGCTACTGAAGAAGCTATTCAGTAAGCCTTGATCTGCCCCTAAATGGTGAACATACACCCAAGGAGGTTAATCACGGATGGTACAGCGCTTCGAAGAATTCAAGATGTGTTTGAAGGGCTTAACATACACACCTGCATGCAGGGTCCCATTATCTTTCTTCTCTCTGCCCACTACAATATGACCGTTTGTCTCAAAAAGGACTGATCATCCATGCCATTGATTTTAACAGTGCATATTCTCTCCAAAACTCTCCACCCATAACCAAAACCATTGATAATAAACCCTCGTATTGTCCCCCAAATTCTCCACTCCTCCCGTAATGAATTCCATCCAGTAGCCACAGTGCTTTGTGGGCAACTCCTTGTCCTTACCCAGAGATGATTCTTCATCAGTCTACTATTTTCTTTTATATGACAACAATCCTAGCATTTTCCCCATCTATTGATGCCCATTCAAGTGAAACATCAGCTTCTCTTGCTTACTTGAGTTGTTCCCTTTATTTTCCATCAGGGGCTGGCCAACTGAGGCTTGCATCCATTTTTGTAAATAAAGTTTTATTGGAACACAGCCGTGCTCACGTAAGTCTTATCAATGGCTGCTTTCACTCTACACCTGCAGGGTTAAATATTTGCAGCAGAGATCATATGACCTATGATGCTGAAAGAGAATCTATTATCTGGTCTTTAGAGAAATGTTTACCTACCCATTTTTGTATGATCAGGATTGGGGAACCATTCTTCCTACTCACTGAGGATGTTTTCTTCAGTGGTTTTCTCTGTTGCGTATTTACTTACTAGCTTCACTTATTCCTATCACCCTGTCTGGCCGTAGTCTTCTACCACATCTTTAACTGACTCATGTCATTCACATATCTGGGGAAATGAGGATGAGGCAGGGGTATGGTCCCGGAAACAGCCCCATCCTCCTCCACCCATTTCCAGCTTCCCATCACTCACCATCAAAGCTGCCGTGGTTGGTGGCATGCTGCAGCAAGAGGCCATGGGTCTCCAGCGATGGTTGGAAGACAAATACACCACTGTTGAAGCAGTCTGGCCATCCAGGATCGGGGGCTGCAGAAAACTCTGTCCTATCAAACAGTTCATCGATATTGGATAGCACCTGGCAAAGCAGAGCATGGAGAACCTATAGCAAGACTTCTCTTACCTCCGGGATGCAGGTGACAAATGCAGCAGAAACATGAGGATGGTCAGGTCAGACAAAGTCTAGTGTTTGGAAACCTGTGCCCATTTTTTTCTTTTCTTTTCTTTCTTTTTTTTTTTTAAGATTTTATGTATTTATTTGACCCAGCGAGAGCACAAGCAGGAAGAGCGCGAGAGGGAGAAGCAGGCTCCCCACTGAACAAGGAGCCTGATGCGGGGCTCGATCCCAGGACCCTGAGATCATGACCTGAGCTGAAGACAGATGCTTAACAGACTGAGTCACCCAGGCGCCCCATTTTTTGGACTGACTCTTCTTTTCGGCTTACATCCCAAAGAGAAGAGTGTGTAAGATTGCTCTCCAGTTTATTTCAAGTGATTGACATAACACCACTTCTGAAACTAAATTATTTTCTCAAGGTTCTTAAAATCTTCTATGGAACTCGCCTGCCTGTGTATGCTCTTTAATCTGCCCCAAATGACAAGTGGAGGATGCCACAGCCTAAGAAGCCAGGTGTACCAGTCCAGTCCGAACTATGCAATTCAAGATGCAATCAAGGCAAAATATTTTTCCTAATTATTCTATTTTGTGTAGATGAAATTATGTGATTATAAAGCCCTCCTAGGGAAGGGGCATGCCTTCAAGTCCTTTAGTGTCCTGGGCAGGGTTAGAGCAGTGCGAGCACTGTGTTATACCTGATTTTGATGAATGTCAATGCTGGTGATAGAGATGCATGTTATTTGCTGGGAATCCACCTGTAAGAACTAGCAGCCTCCTTAAAAAGGGAAAGGCATTGTCTCTGAGGGGTTCCTTATCAAGTGGAGTGTCTGGTGCTCATTTTCCCCCTGTACTCACCAGAGTATCTGCATCTAGGAAGACACACTTGCTATAATGGGTGAGGGTCCAACAGTGAAGCTTGGTGAGGGTGACCCCAAGCTCAGGCCTCTTCAGAAAGGCTAGGTGGATGTAGTCTGCACTGTCGATCAGGTTCACCTCGATTACCTCATCAAACACCTTCGTGAGGATAACCCTGGAAAAGACACATGCCAGGCACTAGGAGAGCAAGGAAACATTCAACAGAGGACATGTTATCCCTTCAAGATGACACCCCTTTGTGACTCACACACATGAAGCATGGATCCGAAACCCCATCAAGCTCACTGCAATCTTCATGTTCAGGTTTTATTTTTCCCAAGGAGCTTTGCATACTTTCCACCCATGCTTAAACCTTATGCAAACCTGAAAATCTTAACAACTGTACACAATTGTCTTAGGTAGACTGATTCCAGTCATCCCTCAAGAAGGTACTTCTCTTTGAAAAATGCATGGGCCATGGGAATGAATGCTGAGGAGGTACAAACTGACAGATGTCCACTACAATCTCTATTCGTTTTTATCTTATGTATTCAAAACCTCCATTGTTAATTGCATACAAGTTCAAGACTCAAATTTTGCAAGACTACTTTTTATCAAAATGAAATTTTCCTCTATTCCATTAAATTCTTTTTGATTAAATTCTACTTCACCAGAGGCTGGAATATCTTGTGATGACAAAAAACTAAGGAAGAACCAGAAAAATGGTGGAGGCATGTCAAAAGGATACAGGGAGCCACCAGGATTTGAACAAGAAAACAAATAACAAACCTAAAATATAAAATGAATATTCATGGGTCCATACTAATATCATAATTGAATAAATAAGTAAATGGGGAAGAAGGAGCAGCAATTCCTTATAGAAGAATTCCAAATACTAAATGCATTAGGAACGAGGGAAATAGAAAATCACCATTAGGCTAACACCACAGTAATAATTATTGCTGACAAGGTTCACCGGTGGAGGCTAAAATCAATGCGTAAATGTTTTGAGAAGAAATAGCATGTTTTCATAGGCTGGAAGTATCTCCTCCAAGATATCTATCAATTACAAAGACAAAAATCATAACCCCACAGATAATATCTTATCCATATGATCAAGGTTAATATCACCAGCAACAGGTCACAGCAACATCACATACTCCCTGATAGGGTGCCCTGGAAAAGGTACATCACTCCTGAGGACTTTTTTTTTTGCCAGAAATACATAACCTCAGTCTACTAATGAGAAAATATTGGACAAATGCAAGCCCAAAGAATTCTATAAAACAAATGACCAGTACTCCCCGAAAATGTCAAGATCGTGACACATAAGAAAAGAAGGAGAAAATGTCATAGATGGGAAGTTATAAGGGCAGACATGATCTCTAATGCAACGTGGGATCCCGGATGGGAACAAAATCATGTATCAAAGGCATCCTTTATTTTCAACATTTTGTGTTGCTATTGAAAGTGCTTCCTGTACACATCCAAGATATGGCTGGATTTTACATTTATTTTCCTATGACAAAATTCTCTCTCCTTTAAATGAGTTTTTTTAACCCATTCACCTTTAGTATGATCATTGATATATTCGAGTGGAGTCCTACAGTTTTATTTTTTCCTTTTTTTTTTTTTTTTACCTGTATCAGACTTTCTTCTTCTTTGTAATCCTTTCCCACCTTCCACTGCATAGATTAGATTTTTTTTTTCCATTCCATGCATTTTCCATTAATGCTTGGGAAGTTGCACATATCCTTTCTAGTTTTCTGATGGTTACCACCCTCAACTTTTGACACACATATTTAAACTTATATTTTCTACTGAATGTAAAAACAGTCAGCATCTGTATCTTCACCCCAGACAAGACAGGAATATCAGCCTATGTTCACTTCTGCCCCTCCCCTCTGCCCCCCTCATTCACCTCTGTGTGGAGTGTAAATCCGAGGTTATTTTCATAATTATGCCTCAACACATTTACAATTAACTTTGAGTTTCACTCATTTATTTGCTTAGTGCTACTTCTTTATTACAAGGTTTTCTTCCTTGGATTCACATTTCACTCTGCTTGAGTATATCCTCAAGTAATTTTGTTCCCAAACATCTTTGAGGGGTAAAATTTTCAAGCTTTTATGTATTTGGAACATCTTTAATTTGCTTTTGAATTGCACTGATTTGGTTGAATACAGAAATCTCATTCCAAAATTACTTTTGCCCCACCATGGAAGGATGGTGGGGGCAGGGGTGAAACAGGTGACAGGGATTAAGAGGTACAAACTTCCCATTATAAAGTAAATAAGTCACAGAGATGAAGAGTACAGTAGAGGGAATGTAGTCAATAATATTGTCATAATTTTCTACAGTGACCATACTTATTGTGGTGAGCATTCTGTAATGCACAGAATGTCAAATACCCGTGCTGTACACTTGAAACTAATGTAATACTCTACATCAACTATACTTTTGTAGACACACACATGAAATTGCTTTGCTCCAGAAAATTTGAGACATTAGCTATCTCAACCTGACTGATGCTGAAATGCTTTTAGCACCTTTCTCTGTTCTTGGTGCTCTGTGATGCCACCCTTTGGTATCGACATTTGCGTTCGTTCATTCTGCTCAACACTCAACAGGGCATTCTCAGAGCTGAAATAGGAGAGAAGTTATTTCCTACAATCCGTTCTCTCTTTTGCTCCTTTTGAAACTTCCAGTATGAGGCAGATGTTGATGCTTTCGGAGTCTATCTGTTATATCCTGTACCGGCTTGTACCTTACATTTTTTGGTGCTTTTTCATCGAATGGTATTAAAAGTACCTACATCTCGGAGAGTGTACTATCTCATCGCCAAGTTTCCCTTGCTTTTAACCCAGTTATGTATGGAATTTATAGCATCCTTAGGGTTGTATAAAGATCCGGGAGCAGGGGGGTGGAGGGCAAAAGAAATATCACTCCATGTTGCCACAAATAGACTGTGATGTCTGTCCTTAAATCCCTTTGTTCAGCTCTGCCTGTTTTCTCAAAATAAGTGCCTGCGCTTGGAATGAAGTTTCAAGACTACAGTTTGAAGCTTTCTGAAGAAAGATTACCCCACTCTGCACTTGGACTACACAGCCTGGAAGAGCAGAGTGGCGGTCCTCATACCCACACCCTTGGTCACTTTTGGTCACCTGTCACTGTTTGTCAGTGGACCATAGGGCACTGTTCCTCAGCTCTCCCATTGACTGCAAAGTATGTAATGGGTCCTAAAAGAGCTACATGGTTCTGTAATACCAAACCTTCCCAGGATTCCTGGATATTTCTGAATATTTTACAGTTCATCTTGAGTGGACCAGGAGACTGAAGAGAGTCAGTGTTGACAGCTCTTACTGACCCTGAGGAGACAGGAATGGAGGACAGAACTGTGTGTTCTTGTGGGGTCCTTTTGGCTTTATCAGGACAGTTCTATGAAAAAATATGGCTGCCCCCAATCACTAGGGGGACTGATGGGCCAGTAGGCAACCAAGAAAGACCCCATGTTTCCTGTCTTGGCCCCAAACAACACACACAGGGACATGTGTCTACCTCAGGGTCAGCATTCCCAGCTCTGCATCTGCTGGAGCCTCTGGTCTGACTCTGAAGAGCAGGGGTCTGAACATAGGGGAATGTGTTTCTCTCTGGGGGCCGAAGAGCTCATCTTTGGCAAGAGGAAATACACTGTACACATTAAGTTGAAACACTTTTGACAAAATGGGTTATAGCCAATTTGCCTCTAGTCTAATGATGTCATTTGATATCAAAGACAAAGGTCTGCCCCCCAAAACACCAACATTTACAAAGACAGTTGCCAACCTAGCTGGTCATAAATATCCCCCATAGATGTAATAATGGTTCATACCCTCCACCATTGTGAGATTCATCTGTCCATTTGTGAGGTCTGGTTGTAAGACTTCTCTGAATATTATACAGACAACAAGCCTCCTCCCCATTAAAGATTTTGTAAATGTGTTCCTTAGTTTATTTGTTTGATCTTTTACTTTTACACATAGTATTTCTGACCTACACAGGTCCTGGTATCCTCCTTTGCTTTCATTTAAGATGGTTTTCCCCACATTCAGATGAATGAAACATCCATCCATGTCAGTGTTTGAAGACATTTTTCCTCATCCCATCTTCAGGGAGGGTTGTGGGTGGTGATCCTACCAGCAGATGGTGGGTGGAGACCAGGGACACTCCAACTCAGAGAATCATCCAGCCCCAGATGTTAACAGTGCCCAGGCTGAGACATCCTGATCTATTGACTTCTAAGATGTCTCTATGCTTTAAAAACTTTACCTTTACACCCATAATCTACCTGAATTCATCTTGGTACACATTTAGCTTTATATTCAAAGGACCATATCATTGCCTTTCTCTGATAGATGGATGGGCTGAATTACATGGAGGTCATGTGGCACCATTGGGTACCCCATGGTCCTTAGGGTACCACTCATGTCTCTACAATACACCTCGTGTGGTCTTGCTGCTGTCGTGTATTTGGTGGCTTTTTTTGTCTATATGTAAAACACAACCAAACCTGTAAATCAAGTTTGGGTATCAAGATTAGGACAGTTTCTTAAAATAAATGAAGACATTCATTTTTTTTTTCTTGTCTCTGAGATCACTCCTATCACATGGAAATTCATTCATTGTGACCAACATAACAGAACGTCCTTTATAACTACCCGGGCTCAGAACCTTCTACCAGATAAGCTTTTGATAACATTCTCTATTTTCCACCCCAGGGTACTTGAGCAGTGTTTTCTACTCTTTCTAGTATCAATGTGGGGTCATCTGAATTTCCCTACGAGGATCCCAAGTATTTCATCAATATTACCAGCAAAGTGCTCTGTGTCCTATTTGCTTTTAAAATTGAAATTGCATGCAAATGACTACTTTTTCACTTTTATTTTGGATACTTATGTTATCTGTCATCTTAATTTACTTTTAAATAATCCAATACTGGATTTTTTAAAAATCCAAGAGGATTTTTTTTTAATTTTTTTATTGTTATGTTAATCACCATACATTACATCATTAGTTTTAGATTCCAACAGGATTTTTTTCCTGTTCCCAGTTTTTAGTTTTTATGGATCTCTTCCTTCTTGCCTTATGTATTTTTTGTTTGTTTGTTCTTAATTTTTTTCCAACTGGATCATTTCTTCACTGATTTTAATTTTTGTATTGTTTGCCTTCTGTATTTTTTGTTTGTTTGTTTTAATATAAAATTTCTTTGAACTTGATAATTTATTTCTTCACTGATTTTAATGTTTTTCTCTGGAATGACTTCAGCTTTCCCATTTGAC